TAAACATCATTCTTACTCTAAACATCATTCTTGCTCTAAACATCATTCTTGCTCTAAACATCATTCTTACTCTAAACATCATTTTTACTCTAAACATCATTCTTCCTCTAAACACCATTCTTACTCTAAACATCATTCTTACTCTAAACATCATTCTTACTCTAAACATCATTCTTACTCTAAACATCATTCTTACTCTAAACATCATTCTTACTCTAAACACCATTCTTACTCTAAACATCATTCTTACTCTAAACACCATTCTTACTCTAAACATCATTCTTACTCTAAACATCATTCTTACTCTAAACACCATTCTTACTCTAAACATCATTCTTACTCTAAACATCATTCTTACTCTAAACATCATTCTTACTCTAAACATCATTCTTACTCTAAACATCATTCTTACTCTAAACATCATTCTTACTCTAAACATCATTCTTACTCTAAACACCATTCTTCCTCTAAACATCATTCTTCCTCTAAACACCATTCTTACTCTAAACATCATTCTTACTCTAAACATCATTCTTGCTCTAAACATCATTCTTACTCTAAACATCATTCTTACTCTAAACATCATTTTTACTCTAAACATCATTCTTACTCTAAACATCATTCTTACTCTAAACAACATTCTTACTCTAAACATCATTCTTACTCTAAACATCATTCTTACTCTAAACATCATTCTTACTCTAAACATCATTCTTACTCTAAACATCATTCTTACTCTAAACATCATTCTTACTCTAAACATCATTCTTACTCTAAACACCATTCTTACTCTAAACATCATTCTTACTCTAAACACCATTCTTACTCTAAACATCATTCTTACTCTAAACATCATTCTTACTCTAAACACCATTCTTACTCTAAACATCATTCTTACTCTAAACATCATTCTTACTCTAAACATCATTCTTACTCTAAACATCATTCTTACTCTAAACATCATTCTTACTCTAAACACCATTCTTACTCTAAACATCATTCTTACTCTAAACACCATTCTTACTCTAAACATCATTCTTACTCTAAACATCATTCTTACTCTAAACATCATTCTTACTCTAAACATCATTCTTGCTCTAAACATCATTCTTACTCTAAACATCATTCTTACTCTAAACATCATTCTTACTCTAAACATCATTCTTGCTCTAAACATCATTCTTACTCTAAACATCATTCTTACTCTAAACATCATTCTTACTCTAAACATCATTCTTGCTCTAAACATCATTCTTACTCTAAACATCATTCTTACTCTAAACATCATTCTTGCTCTAAACATCATTCTTACTCTAAACATCATTCTTACTCTAAACATCATTCTTACTCTAAACATCATTCTTGCTCTAAACATCATTCTTACTCTAAACATCATTCTTACTCTAAACATCATTCTTGCTCTAAACATCATTCTTACTCTAAACATCATTCTTACTCTAAACATCATTTTTACTCTAAACATCATTCTTACTCTAAACATCATTCTTACTCTAAACACCATTCTTACTCTAAACATCATTCTTACTCTAAACACCATTCTTACTCTAAACATCATTCTTACTCTAAACATCATTCTTACTCTAAACACCATTCTTACTCTAAACATCATTCTTACTCTAAACATCATTCTTACTCTAAACATCATTCTTACTCTAAACATCATTCTTACTCTAAACATCATTCTTACTCTAAACACCATTCTTACTCTAAACATCATTCTTACTCTAAACATCATTCTTACTCTAAACATCATTCTTACTCTAAACATCATTCTTACTCTAAACATCATTCTTACTCTAAACACCATTCTTACTCTAAACATCATTCTTACTCTAAACACCATTCTTACTCTAAACATCATTCTTACTCTAAACATCATTCTTACTCTAAACACCATTCTTACTCTAAACATCATTCTTACTCTAAACATCATTCTTACTCTAAACATCATTCTTACTCTAAACATCATTCTTACTCTAAACATCATTCTTACTCTAAACATCATTCTTACTCTAAACATCATTCTTACTCTAAACATCATTCTTCCTCTAAACACCATTCTTACTCTAAACATCATTCTTACTCTAAACATCATTCTTGCTCTAAACATCATTCTTGCTCTAAACATCATTCTTCCTCTAAACATCATTTTTACTCTAAACATCACTCTTACTCTAAACACCATTCTTACTCTAAACATCATTCTTACTCTAAACATCATTCTTACTCTAAACATCATTCTTACTCTAAACACCATTCTTACTCTAAACATCATTCTTACTCTAAACATCATTCTTACTCTAAACACCATTCTTACTCTAAACATCATTCTTACTCTAAACATCATTCTTACTCTAAACATCATTCTTACTCTAAACATCATTCTTACTCTAAACACCATTCTTACTCTAAACATCATTCTTACTCTAAACATCATTCTTACTCTAAACACCATTCTTACTCTAAACATCATTCTTACTCTAAACATCATTCTTACTCTAAACATCATTCTTACTCTAAACATCATTCTTACTCTAAACATCATTCTTACTCTAAACACCATTCTTACTCTAAACATCATTCTTACTCTAAACACCATTCTTACTCTAAACATCATTCTTACTCTAAACATCATTCTTACTCTAAACATCATTCTTACTCTAAACACCATTCTTACTCTAAACATCATTCTTACTCTAAACACCATTCTTACTCTAAACATCATTCTTACTCTAAACATCATTCTTACTCTAAACATCATTCTTGCTCTAAACATTATTTTAACTCTAAAAACTATTTTAACTCTACATACACACTAACTTTAAATACTATTTTATCTGTAGACACTATTCTAACTTTAAATTTTATAAGTTTTATCTAGTTACTTTAATATATTAAAATATTCATTTAAAAGAATAGCTGAAAAAATATGAAAAAGTTTTCTACACACATCTAATGCACTTGTAAATCTTGCGTAGGCTTGTTTTGTACTCTGTAAACATTGCATCGGACAGACCTACACAAGTGGAATGAAACCACTCTTTACAAATCAAACACTGGATCATTGAGTCTGTTGATTTAAAAATACTGCGACACACACAATACAAAGAGTAGCTTGAGGTACGAACTATATTTTTTCTAACAGTTCTATAGCTATCTACAGGAAACTGTGTTATTCTGTAATTTTCGAGGCATGTCAGCAAATGTTGTCGCATCAAACCCTCACTATATCTAAAGTTACAAGGATCTTTGCCTAAACACAAAGAAACACAGTTTGCTATTGCATAAAACCCACACAAAAGATCTTTTTGACGAGCTACATTGTTTATGTTAAGCTCTATTTCAACAGACTGTAAACAGGCAAATTTAGAAATTGAATAAATGCATTCTTTACTTGGAATGAGTTGAAGACTACAATATATGTCGATTTGACTATCTTTACAATAGTGGTTAGAGGCAGTTATCCAATGTCCTTTTGTTGGATCATTAAAAATTTGAACAAAAGCTCCGGTGGAAGCATTACATTGACCAGCAAAGCACAGAATTGGATCTTCGAGACCTTTAATATCTGGAAATTGACGCTTACACAATATTATTGAGGCATAAATAACTTTATCATTAAGAAGACCCATTGGATTTATAATAAGGCTTCGATCAGCATTGGTAAGATTTAGATTTTCAAATTGAAGCCATGTCTGCGCATCTGCTGGAACCACCAAATTTGTATCATCACAAATTAAAATAGGTATTTCTAGTGTAGTTGGCTTCATATCTGAATGCACAACTAATGATGAAAATGAAAAATTCAATAGAGAATCTCCAAGCGTTTGGACATAGTTGTCAGCAAATTTCACTTGTTTTTGCATCCTTTTAACACATAAAATTATACATTACTTACAGTATAATAGAAGATAAACAAGCATGGATAACATCTAAAAATTTAAAATGCAAACAAATAAAGTTAATTACATTTCATGTTGAGGTAACAGAATCTCTGTACTTGAACTTGCTGCAGACAAAAGGTTATCAATATGGGAAGTTTGAGATGCTGAATCAACACTTTGATTCATGCTCAAATCATTCAAAACTTTTATGTCAAGATTGACAGTTGCATCTGGTGCAGGGATAAAACTTATATCACCTTTTCTTGGCTTCTTACAGCCTGATTTCTTGTCACCTTTTTTACTAAAAATAATAAAAATTCTAAAAACTGACATTTACAGTGTAGACTAGATGTTTTCTTATTGCATCCTCTGTTCTGTGATGCATAACAGGAAACATCTTAGTCTAATATTTGAGAATTTAAGTTGCCTCTTCCGGCATATTTATATACATACATACATACATACATATATATATTTATATATATATAAATTTATATATATATATATATATATATATATATATATATATATATATATATATATATATATATATATATATATATATATATATATATATATATATATATATATGTATATGTCTGTATGTATATGTATATATGTCTTTTTGTATATGTATATATATATATATATGTTTGTATACATAAATAAATTATGTAACAATAAGTTTAAAAATAAAACAAATATATAATACATTAAACATAATATCAGCGTTCCAGGTTATAACCTCGACAAATGTTGTAATTTTGATGAGGTCGCTAAAAATCCATATTAAGATAATATTAAGAAGAACCTTGATCACTTACTTATATAATAAAGTTATATATTAAGATAAATCACATTTGTTTGAAACATATATAACCCAGAATGCTACTAAGGATTAGAATTTATATTCGATCTGTACATTTTTGAACTATTAGCACTGTACTCTGAGTTGCCAAATATTTAAAATTTATTTAACTTTTTTACCTAACTCACCAGACCTTATTTATAACCCCTTCATGTTTATTAATTTTGTAGATTCTTAGCTTATTTTCCTAAAAAGTTTCCCCAAATATTAATATTTTCCCTAGTTTATTAGGCACCCCAGAGTAATTTGATGTACCGTGAGTTACGCCGCAATTTGGTCAAATTTATGATTTTGCGTTCACCACATTCAATTCCAATGCTGCATTTAACAGCTAGTATGTGACAACATATTGTTGATGAAGGACATGTGCAGTTTTCCTTCGGATACAACTTCACAACATGCGCATTTCCATCAGGTGCAGAGACTGTAAAAACCTTTAGGTTTGGAATATGAACAACATTAAACGTGTTAGAAAGCACTCGTATAGATGGAGGTATGCATTGCTGCATTGGTATATTTGCAGCTGCTTGCAGCTGCTTGCAGCTCTGCAATAACAAGTTCTGGACTATCTACTTTTGGTATGTCGTCTGTGTTATCTAAAACATTTTAATTTTCAATTTAAAACATCATTACTAACTAGTGAGTATATAGCATTTTTGTAAATATTTTCTAAATAATTCTAAAATCAAATAAAAAAAGAATTAAAAAAGGTTTTTAAACAAACAAGTTATTACATATTAAATGTGACATACTGATTAGGAGACTGCTGTCAAAGAGAGTGTAGGGTCCAAAGCCACTACAACTCCGCTTAATTTCTGTCAAATAAAAGGTCTGAAGGCGATGCATTGCAACAATCATAGAATCAACAGGCGCTTCTTTCCATTCTTGAAACTTTTTTATAACTGCATTTAATGATTCAGATACATTATTTGTAACTATATTATCCATTAAACCAACAGATCTGAGATGACCAATATAAGCTATTAAAATACGTGAATACAAGTAGTCTGAAAAATACACTGAGAATGCCTCACTCCAAGAAAGCCTTAATGTATCAATTTTAACTTTTAGATGTAATTCACTTTCACATCTGAGAAGTTCCTGCATTTGAGATTTATAGATTATTATTTCTTCATGACAAGCATTGTGTTTTTTTAGCCAAAAATCAACATCAGATATTATGTGATTGGAACAAGATACCAGATTCCATTTTGGTAAGACTTTTTTAATAGCCTTACTCATTCCACTCTCACCATCAGTCACAATAACAACCTGATTAAAAATTGGTAGTTTACTTTTAAATGTTTTAAAGAAATGTTTATGAACATTATCTAACTTCCTATCATGTAAAACAAATGCTATAGGCATACATGGGTTCTCATTAAAACAACTCATTTGAGCAACTAAAATTGACAAATAAAAGTCTCCTAAATTAAATGTTGTGTCATATGAAAAGAAAATTTGAGGGCACATCACAAGTTCATCGATTAAATTTTGCATTCCAAACAACACTGACAAGTCTGGATACGTGGATATGGACCAGACAAAACCTGGTATCATATATGCCAGTTCATGAATTGTTAAAAAAGATTCAGTGCCTAGTTTAGTACATTCTGCTTTGACACTACGCACATACTTCAACTGTCTTGAGTTTCTAGGCTGAAATTGGATCTGGTTATGCTTGGTATCAACAAGAAGATCCTTGTAGTTGTCAGAATCAATAATTGCATCTCGCAAAGTTGGAGCTGTTGGTAAAAAACTTATTGATTTTCTGCAATTTCCTGGAATATATATAAAAAATACATTGTAAAAAAAAATATTATAAAGAATTAATATTATATACTATTTTTACTTAGTAATTAATTTAAAAGTATACAGTAATTAATGTTATACAGTACTTTTTCAAAAAAATTAATAGTAATTAAAAAAAATAAATTTTTTGGGCTTTTAAAACTCACTAGGGTAACTTATATTAGGATTTTCCATCTCTTAGGAGTTGTCTTTATAATGGCCTCACAAGTACTATTTTATTTAGAGTATATACAACTTTATATACTCAGTTATATAGATAAGACATTCATCTTTAATAGTTCTAAAATTAAAATAACAATCAGTAATAAAATGTGATAAAACCTATACCATGAGGCATTAAGATTGCAAGTTCATGGTTTCCTATATAATGGACAACAACAACATCTGTCCGACTTAGATCACGGTATACAAATTTCTGAAAAACACATGAAGTTCCTGTTGGTGTAACTGTAGCAAAGTGGAGTTTTGTGTACAGTGGTAAACCACGAGGAATTTTACTGCGTCCATTTTGCTTCCACCTATACCCATCTGCTCGCCAATCATCTAAAAATAAAGGCTCCAACTTATGCAAATAGTAAAAATATTCTACAAATATTTCTGATTTTTTTTAATCAGAAACTTAAAATTAAAAAAAGAAAAATTTTTCAATAAAAAAAGTTCATGCTATTTTCTGTACAATAAGTTATATCAGTGTTGTTTATCTTTGACTTTAGTTGTGAACTGCAATGAATTAATCCTTCAATATGGATCCAATACATTTGGGATATATATATATATATATATATATATATATATATATATATATATATATATATATATATATATATATATTATATATATATTAATTGTTTATATTGATAATAAACTAGTTTAATTTTTAAACATATTTTACAACTTAAATTTTGAATTTCCTCTTCTCAAATTCTTCATCAAAAGTGGAAAACTGTTATACAATTTAACTCCTTTGCGAAATACTGAATACCGTCCAATATGATTGTGTTGAGGAATATGATATTCTTAGATACTCTGGTGTAATTACTATGCATATCCTTATTTTTAACCCAAATTTTTTTTAGTACAGACATATTTTCTAATTTAATAGTATTATTTATTATTAGAACTTTTACTGTAATAATTTATTTGATTGTTAGCCAATTCAACTCTTTAAGGCTTAATGATATATAGTGTTGATATGCTTAATTTAAGCATATCAACACTATGTGTAAACCAATTAAATTTAAAGATAGATTTTATTGCTCTATTTTGCAGCAACTGAAAGATATGAAGATTCTCTTCATTTTTTCTAATAAAAGAGAGGAATATTACTGCTGGTGTAGTGCATTTATTTTTATGAAATTTAGTATTTTAGTCTTTTTAGACTAAAAGGATTAAAATACTGGTTTTACTACTAAAATTTAGTAGTATATATAGATATTTTACACAGATTGTTTTTTTAGATATTTTATTTTGCTATATAATAAATATGTTCTTTAAAATTCAATAGATCATCCAATACCACACCCAGATATATAACGTTTGTACAGAATTTAAGTGCAGTACCATCCAAATTTAAATAAATTTTATTGTTAATTCTAGTGGTATGAATTTTCTTTATTCCAGAATTAGTCTTATCCTTCTCAGAATGTTAACTTTACTTAGTAGGTATAACTCTTTATATAAAAAAATACTACTAGTGGTAGTAAACTAGTATAGTACAAACCTTTCCCATTATTCACTTGGACGACATAAACTTCACCGGCCTTGGGATTGTTAAGAGCAGTTGCTCTAATTTCATCATCACTCTTGGTAATAAGATCTTTAATAACCTCAATGTTGAGATGATTTAAACTGATCAAAGCTGGAATAGCCATTTTTTCTTAAACCACGTTTGCTGAAGATGAATTCGTTTGAAGAAGTTCACGAGTAACAATGCTGAATAAACAAATGATCCGCCCCGCCGATCCGCCCCGTCCCGCCGATTGTACCTACCCCATTTTCAAACATTTGACGCGAATAGAAATCATTAACTAAATAATAAAGTCATTACAAATAATGGAAGGAAAATTTTTATCTATACTGATTGTGCATATTTTAATTACTAATATTTTTGTTAACTGGTGGTATTTTAAAAAAGTACAAATTTGTTATGAAATTAAAAAAATGTGGTTTCTAAACCCAATAGCGTTGAGGCCCAATACACAGCAATTAAAAATTTGTTAGAGGCATTTGATCTCATACAGTTCACCCAATTAAAGCCTTGCTATTTAAAAGGAGTTTCTACAAGATTAGTTAAGTTTTTCTGTCCGACCATTATTCTTGTTAACCTCCTGCCATCATGTCTGAGAGCTTCATATAGTTGTAGCCAATATGAAGCTCTCCAACATGATTACCTATATAAGGTAAAGATAAAACTACTTCACTTTAAAATATCTTTTTGCAAAAACAAAATGTACAAGTTTCTAATTTTGAAACTATTCACATTTAGACTTTTGAGAAGTGCAGAGATTATTATGAACTTGTGGAAAAAAATTAGAATGTTAGGTGAAAATTAACATATGAAAATTAAAATATGGAGGTGTTTCACACGCCTTGAATTTCATGACACTCAAACTGCATTTCTGGATTTTTGAATCACATTGATACATTTTGGTCTAGTTTAGTTTAGTTTACAACAAAAGATTGAAAGTCCTTTATCCAATCTTTTAATGAAAGCATTTTGGATTTGGATTTCTTCGATCCAAGGCTCCAGTAATTTAAAAAAAAATATCATTTGATAACATAATGAGGTAAAAATCATAAAGTTTGTTGTTTAACTGGAAAAAGCCTAAAAATAAAAAAAAAATCACTTTACAATAGCCAAAGTGTTGATTTATCTATTGTAATCAGTGAAATATAGGTACAACATATTTCTTAAATTAATAAATACAGTGTTTTTTTTTGGTACAGGAACACATGAAGAAAAAATTGTTGAACAAATTAACTATATTTGATATCAGAATCTATTCATGCCTATATATATATATATATATATATATATATATATATATATATATATATATATATATATATATATATATATATATACATATATATATATATATATATATATATATATATATATATATATATATACATACATATACATATATATATATATATATATATATATATATATATATATATATATATTATATATATATACACATACATATACATATATATATATATATATATATATATATATATATATATATATATATATATATATATATATATATATATATATATATATATATATATGTATATATATATATATATATATATATATATATATATATATATATATATATATATATATATATATATATATATATATATATATATGAATTATCTTGGAATAGTAAAAGTCTTTGTTATTTTACATTGACTTTTTTGTTTGACATTGACATTCTAATTAATTTGATTCAATAAATTCAAGACTGTATTGTTCTTAGTTAATAAAGTTGTATTAGATGTTTAATGAGCACTTTGGGGAAAATCTTACTGTTGCCAATATCTGGGCTAACTTTTAAAAATCCTTTTTTTAAAAAAAAAAAAAACAAACACTAAATTGTGTTTTGCATATTTTATATTTAGAGTGACTACCATTTGTATTTGGCAATAACCAGGACATGCTGCAAATTGAAAGCAAATGAAAATGCGGACGCTTTTTCTAATGAATTATTCCCTGAAACTAGTGTAAGTTGTATTATTTTGATTTTAATAGTAATCTTTATTTATAAAAATTCATAGGATAATTGTAGGAGTTTATATAGCTATATGTATTTCTTTTTTTGCATACAAATTTTGTGTGTGCAAACTTTTTGTGCAAAGTGCAAACATGAAAAATGCGTTTTGCAAAGCATTTGTGCGTCCAAACAACTGCCCACAAATTATAAGAGGTACGCAGTCCATGCTTAGTTGCTCCAGTAGTTTAAATTCAGAAACTGATTTTGTTGTCTTGGTATATTTAGGAAACTTATTCAATTTCTTTACTATTCTGTTTGTAAAAAAGTTAACTTTTTTAGTTTTTACAATTTCTTGCTTGAGGGGCCTTATTTTCTTATTAACTTATTTTCAAAATTTTTCTATTATATATATTTTAATGAGCATTCTTTATAGGAAACATTTTTCAATCAGTGTGCAACTTTAGTGGCACTTCATTGAATCTTTCTGTTTTTAGCAATATTATCCTTGAGGTGGGTTTTCAATATGGGTACAATATATTCATTCTACTGACTATGTATAATCAGGGTTGGACTAGCTCTTTGTGGCAGCCTGGGGGATAATATTTCTAGCGGCCCTCTATAAAATCTTAAAAAAAATCACATAATATATAAATAATGTGTTATTTAACTTTTAAGTACCTCAATTAACAATAGGTTATTTTAATTTATAAGTTTATTTATTACCATATTAAAAGTACATAATTTAAAAAACAAAATATTAACTCATCACACTTAATTATACTATCAAAAAATTTATATTAGTAAAATATTAATAAAACTATAAATGTAGTACATTTATACTTTTATTAATATTTTTATATTTAATTTAAGAACTTTAATAAAAAAACATGTTTGTAAAGGAAACATGAGATCTAGGGCGTATGGACAATGTTACAGGCTTAATCCTTGAGATACATGCATGTACATACAGAGTATATACCATTACTTGTTAAAATTTTTTTTTTTTGTATGGCTACCTAAGTGTGATTTTTACATTGTAACACCCCTGATTACAAGAAAATTTTCAATAAAAAAATTGTAAAAATTTGTTTGTTTGTTTGTAGTTTTGTTAGAAATACTTTCTGTTATCACTAAAGCCATGCTTTAAAACCTCATTTTGGAATAAATTTTTGAAATAAAGTAAAATAAATTGTAAAGGAAATACGTTGAAAAACCCTAATAATATCAATTGCAATTAGTGATTGTCATTAGTTAGCAAAAAGGTTTATTATTTGTGTGATTATGAATTTAATCCCTTGTGGTTTACAAGAAGTTGTGGATAAATGTGTTAAATTTACAAGAAGTTGTGGTATACAAGAAGTTGTGGTTTACAAGAAGTTGTTGAAAAATGTGTTAAATTTATTATTTAGAGTAAACATTGAATTAATAATATAAAAATGTCCTAGAAAAATTGCAGTTTCAATTTTGAGTGGCTAAAAGATTCTAGATTTTCAAATTGGATATCTACAGACAAATTTGTATTGAGTACAAGATGTTTGCATGTGTAATTACAGTTTCAGTAACATTGGATCAGTGCAGTAATAAGTCATGGGTTGGGTAAGAAACATTTGAGAAAGGCAGAAAAAACTAAAAGCATTGGTATCTTTTTTGACAATCAATTGCTTCCGATGGAAAAATCTTGTTTATTTGAAGCACCTTCATTGAATCATACAATGTTCCTGCCTGCTCTGGTAATGCAAAAATACTGTGGGCTTTAAAGGTTGTTGTGTCACACTATATACTTAGATCATGTAGTGGTTTAAGTGAGTTGTTTAAAGTTATGTTTACAGATAGCATAATTGTTAGAGGTTTTTGATTGAGTAGAAACTTTATAATGTATCCTTATTTTAAAAATGCATTAATTAAAGAAGTTTAGCTATCGCCATTTTTTGTTGTCTCCTATAAAGAGTTTATGAATTGTATATTTCAAGAGGAACAGATGGATGTTCTAATTTTTAATTGGAATTAGTCCTCAAGTGTCATTGAAACTCGTTATTTGGAAATCAAAACTTTTAAAACGACCTAAAGCTCAAAATTAAACCACAGAATTAAATGGTATTGGTGACAAAAAACTTGTTTCAGCTCTCCATAGATTGACCAAGTACCAACTTAAAAGTTCTACATCTTCTTAACGACTAAAACTCTAGCTCTAAGCTACTTGATATTGGATGCATGCAATTCATGATGCATTCACTTCTGGTGTAGAATACCATTGAACTTAAAAAAGATAATAAAGGCAATGTGGCAAATTTTTCATGAGTTACCTGTTAGAAGGGACGTTTATGAAAAACAAAACTGTTGTGAAAAGTTTCCATTGAGGTAATGGTGTTATCAAAATATTTTTAAGATTTTTAATGTGTGTATATGGCTTTCAACCTACCACTTTTTATGTTAAAATCCTTTAACTACTATGCCCATCAGCTTTTTACTTCCCACTGTTAAACAAACTAGCAACTGATACATAAAATTTAAACAGAGTTATCATTTATTTATTTATTACTTTTTGTTTGATTCTGTTCAACACGCTGAACTGAGGATAAAGCAATTGCTGATAGAGCTATTAGTATTTGGGGAAATGTTGTTAGAAATCTAAATTGTATGATATACTAGAAAGTCAATATAAGAACAACCTTCCAACAGCAAAGTTTCTATGGAGATGTTGCACAGCATTTAATAGAATTTTCGGTGGTATTCCAAACTGATTCTCTAATTGTTCTAAAAAGTTGCTTCAAAAAATTTTGCGCATCTTTATAAAAAAAGATATATTGAATGCTACACTCACTACATACCAACTTATCTTAGCTTGATGTTTCAAAAAAAGAAAATCAATTGCCAGCTAATCAAATACACTTTGGAACAGCATTCAAATTTTATTTAGGCTCTAAAGAGGTGACAGAAACAGCAAAACACAAACTTAAAGAAGATTGGATTACTATGCTGGTTAAAATTTATAATTCTGGCTCCTTGTTAGAAAAATACAAAAAAGAAGTCCTTTGTTATATGTTAGTGCGAATTGCAGTATGTCTATTCCCAAATAATATGGTTAATAACAAAAAAGAATGATTTGCTTGTTTTGGTCAGCGAGTTGAAAAGTTGAATAGATCAAAGTTGATATCCGTTCAAACAGCTGATTCTGCTAAAGATCAGTTTGAAGACTTTATAAAATCTGCAGTAAATAAAGAAAAGTTTAGGCAATTGAATTGCCTAAAAACAGGAACAAACGTTTTGAATTATTAAGGAAAGTCTGTATTCACTTTATCTCATAGTCATTGTCATAGTTATCCTAGTTTTCACTTTATATCATAGTCATTGTGCTGTTGAGCGAGGTTTTAGTATCAACAAAGAACTTTTTATTAAGAAAATGTAACACTTTTTATTAAGAACATGTAACAAATCTCGATTAGTCAGCATTCTGTTTATGACCATCTTACCGCATCAAAACAGGATGTTCACAATTTCACAATCACTAATCGTGTATCGTTACTCTAAACGAGGAAATTGATCGTTTTAGCATTCAGGCAGAAGAATCTAATTCAATGGAGTTATTAGTTAAAGTCAGTGATTTCAGGCAAAAAGTAAAAGGAATGCAAGCCCTTATTGAACAGATGATTTTTTTGAATATTTATTTTTATTTAAAATTTTTAACTTCGTTACTTTAACCATTCAAACAAAAGACTCGCATCAAAAATTCTTGCACAAATATAGTTCATAGTTATTTGTTATTCAGAAACCTACGATGTTTAGAATAAAGTTATGTTAGCAATAATACTCTATTTTATGTTCATATAACTGTTATTTATTTTTCATAAATTTATCTAATAAAGATTATTTTTTATTATTTACTTTTGTAAAATGTTGGAAAAATATGTATATTCTTTTCAATATATTAAAAAGCGTAATTTTTTTAAACCTGCACAAAAATTGAAGTTCGTAATTAGAGTTTGGATAAAACACCTATTACTTCCCATGCACTCTTATCGTCGCTACTTGGTCACCTTCACTCTTAATGTCGCTACTTGGTCACCTTCACTCTTATCGTCGCTACTTGGTCACCTTCACTCTTATCGTCGCTACTTGGTCTCTTAAAAGTTCATGTCAAAATTTGTTGTCAAACTTTTGTCAGTTATAATGCAAACATCAGAGAAAGTTCTGAAATCATTTTTTTCAAATATGATTTCAGAACTTTCTAACAATTACTTTTTGGTCTGCATGTTTTTTAGTGACCAAGTGTTAACGACTGCATGGCAAGTACTGGATATTTTTTTAGTGACCAAGTGTTAACGACTGTATGGCAAGTACTGGATATTTTTTTAGTGACCCAGTGTTAACGACTGCATGGCAAGTACTGGATATTTTTTTAGTGACCCAGTGTTAACGACTACATGGCAAGTACTGGATATTTTTTTAGTGACCCAGTGTTAACGACTGCATGGCAAGTACTGGATATTTTTTTAGTGACCAAGTGTTAACGACTGCATGGCAAGTACTGGATATTTTTTTAGTGACCAAGTGTTAACGACTGCATGGCAAGTACTGGATATTTTTTTAGTGACCCAGTGTTAACGACTGCATGGCAAGTACTGGATATTTTTTTTAGTGACCAAGTGTTAACGACTGCATGGCAAGTACTGGATATTTTTTTAGTGACCCAGTGTTAACGACTGCATGGCAAGTACTGGATATTTTTTTTAGTGACCAAGTGTTAACGACTGCATGGCAAGTACTGGATATTTTTTTAGTGACCAAGTGTTAACTTGGTGCATGGCACTGGATATTTTACTCTAGTGATTTAGCATAAAAGTTTATGAAGAGTCGTGGAAAAGTTTGAGTGGTCACCCTGTAGAATCATATTTGTGAATAAACGGCACCGATGATTTTCTTAAGCACTCGTCCTTGTACAATTTGCTATTGATGGCGAGTCCATGTTTGAAAAATAATGATCATAGATTTCAAGAACAAAAAAACAACAACAACTTTTTAAAGGACACCTAAACTTTGTATTTAGTTTGATACTTATTTTTTACATTATCTGGCGTTTGATTAAAGCATCTGTGTAGAATATATCATTTTCATCCAGCCAGGTTGCTAAATTTTTTGTTCATTTTTTCGCACTTTTGTTTTTTAGCCTAGGGTGTCGCATTCCCGCAAAATTTTAAAATTATCCTGCCAACTTTTAAATTAAGGTTTAAACTAAGAATATTACGTGTATCTCGACTTGCAATGGGGAATTAGAATTGGAGTTTTTACTAAACCAAAAGAAGTATCTACAGACAGTTTCATACATTAATTTAACCATGTTACTGTATTTTGTTTATTTGAGGTAATTGTTTTAATTTTAAGTTAGTATTGTTTTGTTTATGCAGTGGTACCGTGATACAGACAAAAACGCTTCTGATGCAGCCATTCAGTCTTGCAACAGACGTTTTTGGTATTTAATTGAAGAGTTAATTGTCTTTGAATGTTCTCATCAAACATTTTACCTATTGAACTATTGAAAAGGGATTGAAGCCATTTTTTAGTCTGTACATCTATAGCCGTTTTTTAAATCGTCTTAAGATTGTTTGCATATTTTGAGAAAAACGCATTTAAAAGAAAATTAAAATGAGAAACTCTATATAAAACGTTATTTGAAACTAATAATTTTTTATGAATTATGATATTTCAAAAAACCTTTTATATAATATTTTTTATAAATTTTTACAATTGTTCAAAAATATTTATTTAAGTTAAATTTAATTTCTTATTGTAAAACTGTGCGTTTTCCCATAACTTTTCCGTAACATAAGACAATCCCCTTAATCATCTTTACGCCCTGTTATTTTTATTTTATTATCTTTTGCTGTGTGAATGTGATAAGTTGAGTTTTCTGTGTGAATGTGATAAGTTGAGAATTATTTTAAAATTTATAGGTTAGTAATATTTTTTGTAGATGTTACCTGATCTCTATCATACATTACGCAAAGAAGCAAGCAGCGCTGTTCGTGCAAGAATTAAAGAAACTTCAGTTTTATTTGTTGAGTGTGTTAATGAGTTATTGTCTGCTTCAAACTTGCTTGTTTACTCTTGAAAAAAAAAAAAAGTAAAAAAATATATTTATATAGTTTTAGTTATTGTCACGTGACATAAAAAATATCTAATCTTATTACTGTTTAACTTTAGTTGGAGTTATGAACATAAAAAAATGTTTTGTATCATTTAATCAAATACATTTTTAGTAGTTATTCCAAAATCTGCAGGTTTGTTAAATCATTTTATAAGTATGTTTGAACGATTGGTAAGGTCAGGCAGTATACAAATTTGATCTCATAATTGTTTAAAAAGACCTGGTACTTGTGAAAGTTGTGAAAGGATTTTTCGGTTTTTCAATAGCGTATGGTTGCGATACTTCGCAGTGGGCACAAGACGTGTTTAACAAGTCTAAAAACGTATTAATATATGTTGCAACGTTTTTTAGACGTCTAAAATACGTCTTGTGCCCATTGAGTTACTGAAAATTGCACATACACAACAGATTAATAAAAACATTCAACTAAATAAAGTTGCCGTAACATGCAAACTTTGTGCGTAGAACAAACCCAATAAAAATGTAAAATTGTTGATGCTACAACTCCGAATAAATAATAAATGGTAAAATCCCTTTTATTTCTTTTCCAAAAAATTTAAAAGATCATAAAAGTAATTAATTAGTTCTGAAATTGCTGCCACCCTTTAATTTAAAAAGTTTATATAGATTTAAATTTAAAAAGTTTATATACACATGTATTTATACTGTCGCAAAAACAGCTTTTTTTTACAAGTGTAGTTATCCTAGAAAGATTATTGAATCATGGTTTAAGTGACAAAACAGCAACTGCTAATGAAAACGATAAAATATTTTCATAAATGCTAAATATATCCTCGTTTCATAATGCAGCAAATTTTGCTTTGAGGCTATTGTTTATCTAAATTTAATGAATATAAGAATAGCTATTCTCAATGCAACTCTAATCTTTTATAAGTCAAAGTAAAATCTATCAGTATGCTGTGCATGCTGAAATTGTTTTGATTCTATTAAATGGTGGGTAGAGCCATTTTACACAATAATTACTATATAATAATTACTTATAATGTTTTTGTTTAGACTAATTATTTTAATTTTTTAAACTTTGTGGGTGAAGTGATACACATGACTAAAATCTGAGGTGGAGTGATGCACATGACCCATAGCCTCAATACACATCATGATACAATTTTTTATCCAGTAAAATGATTTTTTCAAGTTTCGGAAATGCCTTCTACCCTCCAGGTGCTTTATATAAAGCTTTATAGGTTTATAATTATAAACTTTATAAGTCTTCTCTTAAAAATAGCCATTTCAAAAGATAAGCTTATATGATGAGTTCAGTGTTGATAAAATGAAGATTTGGAAAGCATTGAAAGGAAAAAACTAAGATTCACTTCCAGACAAACCACATTCACTGCACTGGAGAAAACCAGATGATAGAAGACCAGAAGATACCATATATTTAACCTACAGTAGTGTCTTATAAATATTCTTTTAAAAATATATTTTGCGGCATGTTATATATTTGTGGGGATGTAGGTTTTTGTGCGCGAAGGGGAGTGGGAATGTTAACCCTTCTCCTTGAATGTAGATCCTATCATTCAATGCTTTGCAACTAAGTAGTACAGAATAAAAAACATTTAGTTTTTCATATTTACAATTATTTTATTTGCATTAGTTTTCTAATACAAATTAAAACTCTTTATTTGACAACGAATTTTTTTTAAAGAAAGTGTTTGGACTAGAAACATCCATGGTATTAACCTACAACATTTATGCTTATGTTTTTCTCCTGGCCTAGAAAACTAACTAAATTCTTATATCTTTTGTAAATAAAAGCGTTTGTAATATCATTAAACTCAATCTTGCAAGGATTATCTGATTTGATAGACATAAAGCTAAGCGTGTTTAATCTCTCCTGAAACATGGCATTTCTTTGCTTATTTTTGATTCGTTTTATTTTGGAAGTCGAATGTTCCGCAGAACAATTTGTAATCATAAGTGTTAAAAAAATGTGAAGAGCAATTTCAACTTTCGGAAAAACAGATGCATAGTTGTCATGAACAAAATTTTCGAAAAGTTGACCATAAGGGAACTAAGTTTTAAGGCAAATTTTAATTTGGCGTATCTGTGTTATTGCCTAATTTAGCATAAAAATCTGAAACTGTCAAAATAAAAATCAATTAAATTTAAAAGTTTTAAATTAACCGAAAAAAGAAAATATCTGAGTAACCTCGAAGTAAACTTTACAATTATTATTACAAACTTGTTGATACGAAAATTATCCTGAGCAGGTAATATCACTTGTGGGACATTATATAGATTTTAAAAATTAACTAAAATAAATTTTTGTCCTTTATTTTTTCCCATAAAATTTGCTCTCTGAACAATACTCTGTCCTTTAATCTGTATTGTAAAATCTACGAGATCAATTAAATAGTCTAGAATAAATATGACGCTGTGGGCTACGAGTGGTCCAAAAATCGACGTCAACTTTATTCAAATCACCCCTCTATCCGGGATCGATTGGATGGCTGTCTTTTTCAATCGCAAATTTATTTCCATTAGTAAGAGGATTAGATCTGTAATGTGTTTTGAGCGTTCAATTCATTTTGACGAGCATGACAACCGATGCTGTCAAAATGATCAAGTTGTCAAATTTTTTTATTTGACTATTTGTGGTTGAAAATGAAAATTAACAAACAATGCTATAAATATGCTATAAATATATGTAATTTTCGAACGATCACTTACTGACAGTTTCTATTTATTCACATGGATGATAGAGAATATGGGAATTAGATAAATGATATTAATTTTAGAATTAAAGTTAAGTTAGCAGCCTAATTGATATTTTTTACTCTACTATCTTTTTACTCTACTATCTTTTTTTTTTTTTTTTTTTTTTTTGCGCTTAAGCCTTTGAATCGATTAGACGCAAGGCCGGCGCGATAGGGGTGTGTGGGGGTGTGTGACCCCCCCCCCCTCATTAATGATTTTTAGTCGGCAAATTGGAGCCTTAGTCGGCAAATTAGACCCTTTTAGACTAGTTAGTCGGCAAATGTCTACCCTTTCGATATAGGCTAGCCGGTAATATAGACAGTCGGCAAATGTCGTCATGGCAGTCGGCAAATTTTGGAAAACGAGGATTTTTTTTTTTTTAGTCGCCAAAATGTAGTGGCACCCCCCCTCCCCCCCACGTGACACCTACTCGCGCCGTCTAATCAGGGCCGCGCCGGCCCTGATTAGACGTGTTTTTGTTGGAGCGTAAGTTTCAGGATTTTATATATTTTTGTTTTTGTTTTTTCGTATTCTTTTATTCTTTTCGCTCTTATTAATTTTTTCTGACATTATTTCTTTCTCTATTATTGCTTCATCTTATTAGCTTATTAATTAACTTCTACTTTTAAATCATAGTATACTATATTGCCTATATTCGTGTCTTAAATAACAGTTTGTTGTACTTCGCGCACCTATATTTATATATACCCATACTTATATTTATTATATATATTTTATTTATATATTATTATTATAAAAATAGTTGTGACTAAGATTTTATTTATGCTTTAGTTCGATTATATTTTTACAGACTTTTCAAATTTTTTTTTTTTTCTTGTTTTAAAACCTTTCAATTTTTGCTCGTAGTTTTAACCACCAAAGTTTAAGCGTGTAAACGATATTTTCTAATCTATGGTTCTATTCAGCAAGTTTTGAGAATATTTTTTCAACTTTTTTTTCTTAATTTTTCAACTTTTTTGTGCCTTGACAAAATCCAAAATTTATTATTAATTAATAAATATATTTACGGAAAATTTATCACTATATATTTACTAATATTTGTAATCAAATTACTAATATTAGTAAGTTATATACGTATAAGTTTATTATATTAAAGTATATATTAAGATATATATATATATATATATATATATATATATATATATATATATATATATATATATATATATATATATATATATATATATATACAATCATATAGAATATTAATTTTATTGAGATTTTAAATTAAATTTTTAAAATTTGTAATAAATTGTAACAAATATTAAAAATTTAAAAACTTGCGATTCTTAATTGCATTCATTGCTAATTATGTCAGCAATCGAAGAAATAGCTACCAACGCTTTTAAAGCGGCATTAGATCAAAAGGATTTAAATGCTACTCTCATGAAAAGTTACCAGAACGATGTTGCTCTTATGATCAAGGCTCTACTTGTTGCAATAGCGGAAGAGAACCGAGTTTAACACCACACGCACCCAACTCAAAAAGCTTAACGACCGAATTGCCGCTGCTAACATTCTCGACAATCCGTTTCGGAATGTTATACATCGAAGAACAGGTCGCATCTGTTGCATCGACGTCATCGAATCAACATCCAATCAGTGCTACGTATTTTCATCCCCAGCTAGAGCTCTGTCAGACTACGCTAGCCGCACAGCCGCTTCTAACTCAGAAATCTCCACTGCCAACTAGGCGTTTGACAAAGTACCACATAAACGCCTCCTTCATTTCACGCTGAAAGCGTACGGTATTCAAGGCTCTCTCGTTGATTGGATTGCAGCTTGGCTAAACAATCGATGTCAACGAGTGGTTATAAATAGCATTACTTCTGAATGGAAAGCAGTCAATAGTGGAGTGCCTCAAGGCTCGGTCTTGGGCCCATTGCTATTCGTAATCTTTGTAAACGACCTGCCGAACAGAATTACTCATCATATGAAACTGTTTGCAACGACAGCAAAATAATAGGGATAATAAAAAAAAATATATAATAAAATAATTTTTTTTTAAAAAAACTAATAGTTTTTAAAAAAAAAATTTATGAATATATATATATGTATAAAAAAGCTATGAATATATATATATATATATATAAATATATATATATATATATATATATACAGGGCCGTAGAGAGCCAAGCCGGGCCCCGGGGTAAATTTTTTGGCAGGCCTCCTTTATTTTACATTAATATTCATATCCATATTGAAAACTTCAAACTTAAAGCTTTTTAATTAAGTAGCCTTTTCTTTAATATTTTT